ATATATATATATATATATATATATATATATATGAAAGAGTGAGATACCGGTCGCTTTTGGTAAACTGTTGGAGTATATGTATTTGCTAGGAGAGAAATGGTAAATCGGCTCACTGATCAAACCCTTGAAATAGGCAAAGTAGAATTACTGTTTGGTAAGACTGGTTTCCAGAGATCACCCAGGAAAACGTTCTACTTGGGTGTTCCGCACATTAGAAGTTAAACCAAAAAACCCAGTAATTAGTTATTTTCTTGGTTGTGTTTAGCCGCTTTCATGCAACTATACATGCAATTTAATGTTACTTCTGATATGAAATACCGAATTCAACCTATTTTACATTGATAACACTATATTACGTTACTAAATAAGACGATGGCATCTTTTTTTTCGTTTTTAAATATGCAAATAATCCGACTCGTAAGAAATGTAATTAAATCGGCTTACCAAAGTAAAAGGATAAACAAACCTCCCTCTGGATAAACGCTGATGTTGTTGCTATAACAACATCAAAAGGGTCAGCCTGTGGCAATGGTATATCGCTATAAGTGACACATGAACGCCTTTTTGTGTCCCTCTGTGGGTGGGAAACCCGTGTAGCTGACATCTAAACTTTATATCCTAAACTGTATATCCTCATTCAGATATAAAGTTAAATTGCATAAGAATAATCAAGTGACACAATTTTGTACAATTTTTATGAATAAGAAGAGTACTGGAAAAACATTTAGTCCAAAAAATATGTCAATATCAGTTTTACATGGATAACGAAATAAGTATTTCATAATATGTTATGATATTGTTAAAACCAGTTAATTGTATAAAATATTGTTTGTTATTAATTATGTTAGTAATTATTTTCTAAAGTTTCAATTCAACAATACATGCCAACCTATAGTTGTATATTTCAAATAAACAGAAAAATATCTATTTATTTCCCAATGTAACGTTTATTGTGCTATAATGAAGGCAGCCATTCCTATTTTATATTTGGTGGACCTGGCTGAGGTCACTCCTCTATCAAGGGATCTGAAATGAACTACGTGGGTTTACACTCATTTAATGAGCAATTGACAAAACTGGGGACTTGCATTAGTACTGAAATGGGACAGAATGAATAATTTAAAAACCATTATCCCTTCTGTTTGCCCAAGACCAATTCCATCTTCCTCTGGAAATAGAAAGCATCAAATGAAGAGGAAGTTATTGCCAAGATGGTGATGATGCTCAAGACGATAATGTTATTGTTATTATAAGACATTTTTTATTTCTGTAATTCTGATAGCAGTTTCCCGCATTTATTGCTTTGTAGACTGCTTCTACAATGTCTGAAATGTTATCTGAAAAGTTATGAAACGAAAGGTTTCCATATTAATATAGCACAGGAATCGCAATATTTTATGATAAAACAATAAATAGTCATAATTTTTATTGGTTAGTTCTGAAGCTGCTCGTGTGGAAGTAGGAAGGAACCACAGGTTCAGTTCAGAAATCGATTTGAGATGCTCGAAGACTCACATGACATCGTATTTGTTACTATTACACCAACTACAGCAGTGTTGTAGGGCTTTTGGTTATACGGCCATATGTCTAATTACTTTAGTAAAATTAAGATATCGAATATATGACACATAAAATCGTTTAACTGAGCAGTTACCAAGAGGGTAACAAATGTCTGTACATGAAAATCCATAGAAATTTTTCAATTAAAACTAAACAAAAATGCTCAGAAAGAAGCAACAACAAAAAATACAAAATTTACTTTGGTTGTCTTGGAATATCGGTATAAATAATTTTATCTGTCGTGTGTGCATCTATCTGCCCAAATATTTGTGGAATTGTTCCACTAAATACTGAAATAAATATAGAATGTCTAATTGTCAATTGGCATCACGCATTGACAATGGCCGGTTAGACAGCAGCATCAGATTGTAAACCAGAGATCTGACACGACCAAGCTCCAAACTGGATTTTTCCTTAACAGTTACCAACACGAGTTAAAACTGAATCAAAATTGTTAGATACACGGACCGACCAATTAACAGCATGCATGTCCTTATTCTACGTACTTTTTAAAAATCAATTCCAATTCCAAAAACTTCCTACCTGACACAGATCCGGATGTTGTATATTACACCGCGCCAAACTCCAGTGGTAACGCTTCTCCTGTGAGCCACTGCAGATGGTCGAAGTCATCCCGGCATTTATTTGAGCTCAAACGCCACTGTTGACTTTAGCACAAAGCAAAGCTTTCACTGCCCTGCTAGTTAAAAAAAAAAGATTATTTTACCAAGATATCGATCAGTGTACCGTAAAAAAATTAGCTCAGCATTATGTTTAAATTGAAATGTACATGTGGCGTCTGTGTAATTTGCCGACAGGCAACGTTTGCCAATTTTAAGTTGACATTCCTGTAACATGGTTTTTAGAAATAGGTCACACACCCTACTGGTGTTTATGTGGATACTGATATTGCCTGGTTAACGAATGTTTGTTTTATTTCAGATTGCAACCATCTAATGCAGAGATATGCACCAACAAACCCACCACTATAGGAGTCCTCTTGGATGAGTTTGGTATGAACTGCAATAGAAGATATAAAAAGCTGGCCGAGTTTTTTAACATCCCACGTGTGCTGATAGCTTTTATTGTGTAAGTGCTTAATTCCCGAATAATGAAACCATTAGGTGCGAAGGAGAAATTGTGGGATTTAGAAGTGTCCATTAAAAATGTATATGAATATGTGCGTTGCATATACCTATACATTATCTCTCACTATAGTGAATCCAAAGCAATCCGGTTATTCTCCTACCCTGTAAAATTGTACTACGCAAAAATGGGGCACATTTCATAGGAAATTAAATTTTTTTCGGGTCACCGATTTGAAAGCGAGACGAGATTCAGACATGTGGAGTAAAAGAAAGAAATATTTATACCTAATCTTGTCCAAGCTCCTTGCCAATCAGGAAAATAATACAAAAAATAATAAACCTGGAATTTACTTCTTTGGGAAAGTAGGCCCTAGGTGAAAAAAAGTATTATAAAATAAAATTCTGCGATTAAGCTTCGTACGCAAAGAAGATAGAATTACGAAGAACGCAGATTCATTCATATGAAGTAATGCTTTAATAAATATTCCATGAAAATATATTCATTCGTTTTGCACAAAAGGTTTAATGTAAACATTAACTGATCATCGATCTTTGTATCCTGTTTTTTCAGCAATGTTACTGAATGTAGGTCTTAAATCTGATTCCTAACATTATGATACAATTTTCCGATAGGTTTATATATATATATATATATATATATATATATATATATAGGCCTATATGGCCTTTTAAAGTGTTATGCAAAAAATGTATTAATTACGCATGTAACTAACTTTCCGATATATTTCGCAATAACGTGCAGTGGTCTGAAAAAATGTACAATTAATAGAAAAGGATGTGTTCACGAAGTTTACGTTTATTATTATTATTATTATTACTATTATTATTAGATAGCACGCATTACCTGCACGAGACAAAGTTTTTTGACCATCGTCATGAAAAGAATTTGGAGAAATACAGTACATCCATTTATGCAATATTGAATTGGCCCATATTTGTTTTTTTTCTAAACAAATTGATTCTTTCTATGTTACACCAATAATAATAATAATAATAATAATAAACACTTTAAATTCACTCTTGTTATTTATAATACACAAAACCATCCTTAAGCATAAAGCAATACTTTTTTGTTTAAAGGCCTTCAGTCTTGTCAAATTGTCTTATAAATTAGATTACTACTATTTCCTTCTTTTACAGCAATTTATTTTAAAATGCAGTTTACTTCTGATGCATCTTAAAACCTAGAAAAACATATGAACAAATCGTGCCTGAACACTTTTCATAATATATATATATATATATATATATATATATATATACACATACATATATACATACACAGACACACACACACACACTCACACAGGTTGAGTTTTGATGGCGAAAGCTTATGTGAAAATGCATGTGCATAAACAGTCAATTTACACATATATACAAATCACCAAAAAATCATGAAGAGTTCATTATTGGTCTGGAACAAACACCTTGGTAGTAATAAGCATCAGGGGGAATTTGCGAGGGGTCCAGGCCAGTTCTGCTTGTCATCTGACCTGATAAGGCTCCTGCCACAGGCGAGCCATACCCAGAATATTGCATCATCTGTTCATAGCTCTTTAAGTCCATTTTATGATGCTGCTGGTCAGAGGACATCAGATTATTAATGGAGAAAGGATGATCAAAAGAATAGTGATGTTCCGCCTTTAGGTGGGCCTCATGAGCGAGGACCCCGTGATGCTGTGACATTGTGTGATGTGTTGTAGAGGCCACCTGCTCCGGGCTCAGAACCTGACATGACTTCTCATCTGATTTCTTGTCTTTTGAAGACTTATTGGAGCGGGGAGTTTCATTTTCATTGCTGCTTTCAGAGCTACTGCTAGAGCCATTCTCCAAAGCCTTACTGCCCGACTCCTTGCAGCGTATCCTCTCACATTTGAAGCGCTTCTGTCTCCTTAAGTAGCAACCATTCTCAAACATATTCCCAGAGTCTGGGTGCAGGGTCCAAAATGAGCCTTTTCCCGGCTTATCTGGAGATCTGGGCACTTTGATGAAACAGTCGTTGAAAGACAATGAATGTCGGATAGAGTTCTGCCAACGCTGTTGGTTCTGGCGATAAAAAGGAAAGAGGTCCATGATCCACTGATAGATTTCACTCAGTGTGAGCATCTTGTTCGATGATTGTTGGATGGCCATGGTAATCAAGGAGATGTAGGAGTAGGGGGGTTTGGCATGAGTGTAGCTTCGCCGGTACGTTTTTGGGTCCCTCGTCCTGATAGTGGACTGCCCGTACATGGGACTCATGGCATTCATGTTCGGGTAAGATGTGAGTGAGTTCATGGAAGGAGGCTGCACCGGCATGGAGCTCATTCCTGGGCTTAGCGCTGCGCCCATGGTCGCCATCCCAGTTCCCATCCCGTTCATGACCCCGGCACCTGCTGTCATGCTATTCATTGACGGGCTCATAGCTGTGTTCATATATGACATGTTAACAGAATTGCCTGTCATGTTTCCACTGCCATTCATGCCCGGCATACTCAGGTAGGCACCCACAGAGTTCATTCCTAGCCCTGCATTCATGTTCCCGACAGAGGAGTAACACTGGAAGAAAAAGGCAAAGTTTTGCTTAGTTACTTATGTACTCAAAATATTCAAAATTGTCTGTATATTTCAGATAAATAATTCTAGTGGCGGAACATCTAAGACTATGAGCAAAAGTAGGCTATAAATTTAAGGTAACATTGGAAAATAACGTCATAACTGGAAATGCCAATGTAAGCTATTTAAACCAACCATAAACATATAGTATATAGCACGCGTGTGTTCGAACAGAAACAATACACCGTGAATTAATTTATACAAAATTAAAAGTGTAAAATGTTTAATTACGTTTGTTGTTGTACATAAAAGTATGCAACGAAACCAAAACGAAATTTTAAACAATCCCCTTAAAAGGGTGATGTTAAAGTTTTTGAACGAGAAAAACGTCTGCGAGTTAAACAACTGTAAGAGTCACGGCTGCAGAAATAAAACTTCTCCAAACACAGCTATCCTAACTGTGTTATGATAGTACATAGTAGATCTCATGGAGGATTGGGAGCTGTTTCCAGTCAATATTTGATTACAAAGTTAATATTATCTCAGGGCTAATATTTAGTTGTATACTCGAAAATAAATATATATAAGCTCTACCAACCTCGGGTTCGCCGTAATAGGTGCTCCAGTCTGAATGATCATGTCCTTCCATTTTAACAGCACCCAGCATTGTAGACGTTTGAAAGCAGAATAATCCAACAATTTGCCCTTGGTGGCACGGCGAATAAATAGGTCCTTGAAATAAAATGTGTGGGATCACTGTATACACTGGTTTTGAGACTACGATCCCGTCAAGGAGCGGTGCATTTGTGCGTTTGAGCTCACGGTGTCCACTGGCACTATAAAGCGGCAGATGATGACAGCGGTTGAGTGACGTTCACTCTCGGCTACTGGGATATGCCGTGATATAGCTCCCTGCTCCAAGACAACCGCCAACCCCTTTCTTTACGTTGCCCCATTAAAATAACTAGTTCACACCTAAGCGAGACTCCTCTGTTTGACCCTTTGTCATACACATGTGCTAAGAACAAACCATTTTCAAAAGATTCTTTAAAATATAGTCTGATTTATTACTTTTAGATAAAGGCCTTTAAAACAGTTACGGGAGTTTTTTTTAACATGTGATCGTTGTCGTCGTTGCATTTTGGGCTTTCTTACGCGACTTCGTTATCATTTTCTGTGTTTTATCCGGCAGAACTACAGTCTTAAGATTTGAATATGACATGAGATTGTTCACTTTATAGCTTTCTTAAATTAGCAAGCAGTGTTTTAATGGTTAAAGCATTTAAATTCACAAACATAGCGATCGATGTTGTTTTTGCTAATTACATATTTGAATACACATTGCCACATTGAATTCACCCGTAGCCTAAATAATCTGGTCGTTGCATCTAATTTAAACCCAGAGACAATTGACATGTATTATGTATTAATTACATTTAATCGTTGCTATAATTAAAATACGATTGCGACGGATAGCTTAAAGATAAAGATTAATTTTATGTAGTGTTTAGTGTTTTTTTTTTTACATACCAATAATAATGTGAGGTTGTTTAATATAGTCACTTCGTCGTGGAAGGACTAGAACACCCAATCAAGGCAATTTATAGTTTCAGAATTTCGAAACAAAGTAAATACTGAGTAATCATACAAGAGTAAAGTGAGCGAGGTTAAAGTTTGGTATGATGAAATATTTTAAATTTCACTCTAAATTACCAGAAATAACAGGGCTTATAGTCAGAAAAACAGGTTCATTTGACAAGATCTGAACTAGTTTAAAAAAAAAAAATCAGTCTGTGATGCCATTTGGATAATCAACCCCTCAGTGACCACTGATGACTAGTTTTCCAGTTTCCCTAAAACCGCAGGAGTTTGACGATTGATGGGTTAATAAGTGTTAAGATTAGCGGTTGAAAGCGCACTCTATAAACTATATCAATTAGGCCTAATTAAATAATTGATCTTTCATAAATGGATTTTAATGTTATACTGTTTAGACTACCACTACTACTGCTACATCATCAGTATCATCATCATCATCATCATCATCATCATCATTATTATTATTATTATTAGTAGTAGTAGTAGTAGTAGTAGTTACTGGACCGTAGTACAAAATACGAAGGAAATGCGTGTTGAGTGGATTTTCAATAAAGTTTGAGAGCGCCCTCTGTTGGTCATAATACTTCTACTGAAAGTAGCCAATACAAGATCATTTATTATACTTTTACAATACAATAGAAGGCTAATCAGACCTGCATATACACTCCAAAATTCTCCACATATCGTAAGCATGGTAGTAATACATTTTTGCATGTTTATTTTATGCAAACCAAACTAACAGAAGATTTATACTGTCATGATTAACTTGACAGTTTTGATGTGAGTAAATTATTGTCAGGCCTTGAAAAGAATAGAAAAATGGCTAAGTATTCAATTTTGTAGACGCTTTCTGCTGCAGTTAACAATGGTGAACATTGAAAGCAGAGCTTCAAATGTGTTATAAACACAACTAATATAACCGCACCTGAGAAGTTTCTTTGTTCAAAGAAAGCACAGCAAGTGGAGCTTAAGCACAACCCTGTAATTACGCAGAAAAAAACACACCCTCTGTTTGTACATTCCACATACATACAGACACAGACAATCATGGTGTCGCACCAGCCCACCAAATTTTTAAGGTTGTTTACATGGTAATATGGATATCAGTCCCTGGGGAACGTATTTGATCTTCAGCCTGAGGGCAGTACTGGTCAACCAATTAGGTGACATTGGCAGCCGCCAATCTCTGACGGGATGATGACTTAGCAAACTGTTGGCATTCACCACCACCCACCCCCCACCCTTGGCTGAGGAGCATGTAGAGTGCCGTTTGCAGTGTACTGTCCAAGACAAACTGAAATTCAGTGGTGAAGTTCACCCTGGTCTCCACATAGGTTTCAATCAGCAACAGTTTCTATAATCCATCTCTCAAAAAGCATCAGGCTGAAACCAGCACCTACCTACTGCTGTAAGACTAGTCAGTAAGCCTTCTAGTATACTGAAGTCTGAAAGAAAAAACATGGAAACAAACACTAGCAGTTCAAGAAAATACCAGGCTAATATAAGTCAATCAGAAAGGTTACCATGAAAGATCAATTTAGTCAGATACAGATTAGCTTCAGCGATAGCTTCAGAGACAGGTTTGCTTCCGAGACTTCAGATACAATTTGGTTACTATTTGGTATAGAATATTGGTTAGTTTCAGAATCATGTAGGGTAGCTTAAGCAATAGCTAAGTTTAGAGACAGATTTGCTTCAAATATTCAGTATGATCCTAAAAAGGAGGACACCTGTGCTGAAAATAGAGGATTAAGGCTCAAAACGAAAAGCTGTTCGTGGGGGACTACGGAAGCTGTGAACCGGCAGCCTGGTTTGGGGTAAGGCTACAGAAGCTGTGAACAGTACATTGATCTAGAAAATGGTCCCCTTATCTCAATAGCATAGCTTCAAAAAAAAAATGTCAGCATGGCTGTTTTCGGGTTCTGTAGTATGCATTTTTGGATGCTTCACGTTTTTTGTGTGACCAGGGGTGAGAGACAGTGGCATTAGTTGTTGACAGGGAAGTGGATGGGAGGAACGGAAAAGGGAAGACAAGGGGGCTAAAAGGAGGACACCCAATAGCAGTTTGGACAGAGGGCTGGAAATTACGGTTAGCTTCTGATACAGGTTCAGCATCAGAGATGTGTTTGCTTTAGCTGCAGATCTGCTTCAGGCACAACTTAGCTTCACAGAGAACTTAGCATCAGAGAGAGCTTAGCTTCAGATAGGCTTATATTGCAGTAGTGGTGAGCATGCCAATGCATGACTGGATTTGCCATCTGCTCTCACAGCTGTGAGCACCCTGCCATGGTTAATAGATCTGTGTGTGAATCTAAAAGGCATTTCAAGTTGGGAGGTTGTTTTGGAGCAGGTTCAGTATAGACATCCCTGAGCTCCAACATTACTGTACAGCGTTCCACAAAGATACCTTTTGATGATCAAAGAATGAGGCAGATTCAAAATAGTATTCAGGGCCCTATAATTCTAGAACTTCTTCTCATATAATGAACTTGTGACTTTTTGCATTATATTAACAGGAATATAAGACGTTAGGAAGAAAAAGGCACATTTACTGCAGCTACATAACAATTATGTGGACTACATAACAAGCATGGTCTATGGATGGTAAAATTATATTGACAAGGCCAGCATATGTCTTAATATCCAAAGTATTTTATTCAACTTGAATAAACCATAATCAAATTTTCCTTAAAATTACCAATAGCCAGCTAAGAAAAAGAAACCAAAGACACTTTTGAAACTCATGTGGCATCAATAAATTACGGCACTATCACAGAAGAATGGCTTAAATACGTAATGTATATGTTTTTTCTGAGTAACAAATGGTGCTTGAGGGCATTGTGACTCCAGTGGCAGGGAAAGAGCTTTTTTTCACTGAGAGTGTGAAGTGACAGCTCTCCATGGTTCCGACAACATAAGTGCGCAATCTGTGTTTGCTTATGTGAGGACACCCTTTATAAGCACACACAGGCACTCACAGCAATTTTCAGCAGAGCCCAATAAACCTGGCCCTATACCGGCCACCAGCAGCCTGCTTTGGAGTAAGGCGACTTGAGGAATTAGCATCTCATCAGCTTCCAGCAGCTCCAGACAAACATGGCTTCCCTCCGGCCCACACCAAGTACAATGAGGCGACCCGGTCGCGAATGGCCCACCTCTCAGCAGGGGCGGCAGTTGCTAAACTTCCCACACAGCCTACATCCCCCACCCCCCCAGCCCAGCCGCAGCGCCATCGTCTCTCCTCAGCCTCTCCTAAAGTGGTGTCTTCCTCTCTGGTGAAAATTACTGCTGTTGATTTCCACATTGAATGGCCTCCTCCTCCGAATCCCAGGGGTCCAGTGCCCCTGCAGAAGACACGTGGACTTGTTCTATGATGTCCCCTAAAGAAAGGCCACCTGGGGCTATTAAGTTAAAAAACGCAAATTGGCCTTTAAATTTTACATCTTCTGAGTAATTTGTTTCCTCACTCCATGCTCTCCTCCCACCCCAAACACAGCTAAATCCCTAGCAGGTGTGTTTTGAAGCCAGGAAATCTTTTGAATAAGAAAATACCTTGAATGTTGGATATAGAAAATAAAATATGATGCACACAGGACAAGATCCAACACAAGCAAGTGCTACAAAGATCTTGAGTGTGTTTGCTTATTGCCGTCAAGGTAATAGAAAAGGAAAGTTCCTTTTTTAAGATGCTATGCTTTGCCAAAGAGCATGTCCACACCTTTAATATGTGTGTCATGAATTCTTTCATTTTTGCAGCCACCAGGATCAGAATCAGCTTTATTTTGCCAAGGACAAGTATGTACAAGCAATTTGTTCTGGTGTGTCTGGTCATACATGTTGCACACATTAATGCACATATTACACATTAAGTTATAATAAATACAACACAAAACTGCTTATATTGCAGTTATGTATTATATTTTACATGTATTCATCTATCTGATGTTTTCATTCAAAGCAACTTACATTAGAGGGAAAGGTTACTATTCGTGTGTGCTCCCTGGGATTTAGTTGTATATGTCAGTTTCAGTTATCACCCTTTTTATATTGTAGTCTTGATTTTTAGACCATATTAGATTTGTTACACTCAGCAGCCAGATGATTAGGTACATCTGCTTGTTAATGCAAAAAAGCCTGATCCTATAACCAGAAAATTATGTGGCTGCTACTAAATATATACAACATGCAAACAGGAACAATAAGTTCACTTACTGTTTGGCTATGCATTAGGATGGCTGATGTAAGGGACTGAAAACATAGAATGATTGTTGCTG